TTAACGTTACATTTTTTATCTGAATTTTCCAGCTAAAGAAACTTTATGTACAAATTTATGACAGAAGTGGAATTCCTATAATTGAGTACACATTCTATGGAAATATTACTTACCTTTTTGATGTTGTTATTAAGTGTCAATCGTGATACTAAATATCGGAGTGAAAGTTGAAACATCGAAGCGACGGAGACGACGCCGCGGTACTACAAACAAATTTTACCTCAGCTCTCGATCCCAGGTTTAGAGGATGACGGTTATCGTGGATTAGGTTAACATTGAGCTAAATTTATCAATTATATCATTTAAATATATAAGAAAAGTGATACAAAACAGTTTTGAAACTGCCAAAGGAACTATTCAATTGACTATTTTAAATCATGCACAAACCAAAACCACTATCCTGGATACGAGATTATTTAGGGCTTAACCACTAGTTACATAGGGGGTATTGAATTCTACGGCTACAAAATTAAAAGAAGACAGTTTAGTTTACCTTTGTTCCTCAGTGAAGGGACATTAGAAAGACAAAACAATCTTTACCATTACTTCATTCATTTTTTTCATTCAAGTACACGACGTTTTATATTAAAGGGCTTAATTACTGTAAAACTTCATCCCGAAGTCCAATGGATCATTCCAAATGGAACAAAATAGAGAGGGTGCAACGTTGGCAGGTTTACTGTACAAAATTTTTGGTCCTCCACGAATCAGGATACAATAACGGTAAAGTAGCCAATTCTTCAATATTTTACACTATAAACATAATGTTCATTTTCTCGATATATGCTAAGAATTCGGTACAAGTATCTCCTCCCATGGTACAAGCTTAGCCCCCCTCCCCAACGTTTTTTTACCAACCTTTTTGCTTGCAGTCTTTTACATTAGCAACCAGAAGTCTTAGATTCAAAAGTATGTATTTCCCATGTACTGACATGACTACACAGAGTCGTGGGGGTCAAGCCTGTTGCACATGTACCTGTACTTCCAGACTGAATGAACTGTGGAAGATAGACAACACACATCACTACAACAGTTCTACCCAACTCTAGCAGAACTTCACCATCATGTCTGACTGGAACTGGAGAAATGGTTAGTTTCTTACTCCACGAGGGTCAGTGACCTCCGACAGAGTATTGTATTATTTTGTAATCAGTTGTGTGACAGTGTCTATGGTACATGTAGTAATTTCTAGCTGTAAGTTAACTCACAATCCATTTGCTGTATAAATACTTTGGCATGTTGTCTGCAAGTATGTACAACATGTTGCATTTTTTAAAACCGTTTTTTTTACACCGTAGGCTGAGTCCGTAGTAGCCGTGGCAACTCTTGATTCGGGATTACATTGCATTACCCTCAGCAAGAGTCGTGCAAAGATCCATTGGCAGAACTGCACATTTCCCGTTGGCTGCTCGATGCTCCGTTTTCGACCCGGTTTTTTGCTGTCCCGGGCTTCCCTACAGTACATGTATAAAACCACAATTGGCCGGGTTGCCGATGTTTAGATCAGCCTAAATATTTCACAGCACAACCCCAAACTACTAAACTCGCTAAGTTTTCAAACCGGGCGGCCATCTTGTATATAGCCGGGAATGTCCGCTACCGTCGTCGGGAACGCTCGGTAGCATCACGATTACTGAAGCGCGACCTAAAGCTCTCCGATCATAACCGGATTTGGCGGCTTTCCTACCGAGCATTCCCGATGGCTGCACCGGACATTCCCGACTACTAAGTATATACAAGATGGCCGCCCGGTTTGTAAATAAGTGAGGTTAGGTAGTTTTCGGTCGCGCTGTGGAATATTTAGGCTGATCTAAACATCGGCAACCAGGCCAATTGTGGAGTTATATTGTAGGGAAGCTCGGGACGGCAAAAAAATCGGGTCGAAAATGGGGCATCAGGCAGCCAACGGGAAATGTGCAGTTCTGCCAATGGATCTTTCCACGACTCTTGCTGAGGGTAATGCAATGTAAGCCCGAATCAAGAGTCGCCACGGCTAAGTCCGTAGCAGTCGTAATATTTCAGAAAGCACCCGTCTTGATGGACTTGTGGAACAGGTCATTAAGATTAATCTTGTTGACATTTGTGAGTCTGCGCTAACAAAGTTTTCTCCAAGCAGATAAAGTTTTTAAAAAGATTTGTCTATACAAGACAACTTTAAGGTCATGTGTGCAAATTTCATTAGTACAATGTAAATATTGTTACAATCTTTAAAAAACACTTACTAGTATAAGTTCCATTGATGTTTCCACTTTCAGAAGGGAGACGTTCTACAGATGAAATGCTAGAACAGGAGAACCAGAGTGCAGCGGAACAGTTGGCTGGGAAAGTCTCCACCTTGAAATCGGTATGTAAGGAACGTACTAGTATGGTATTCTCCCCACAGTATGAAATGTTGTGCATGTGGTTTGTGGGGATGAGTTTGGGAAGATGATGGATAAACCAAAAAAAAACATTTTAAAAGCCTGTGTAAAAAAATGTGTGGGGCCACTCTACAAAAATGTACCGTCATGCCAAATTTCAGGTCATTGGCCAAAAAAAATGAATCCATTTATTAACAAAATGACAGGAGGACTGGAAGAGAAGAAAAAACATGAGGGAAAACAATATATTTCATCCATACGAAATATAAATTAAGTGCCCAACTTTTTTTTTATATGGCCGAAACCAGAAACACAACATTAATTTTCCTAGGCCTTAGATGTTGCACATTCTACAGGTAGAGCAAGGGCTTCAAACCATGCATATATGTCACCTAGGCCATTGGTACAAATTAACCTTTAGGCCTAGGAAAATAAATGTTGTGTTTCCTGTTTCCCGACCGACCCTAAAAAAAACCGCCGACCCTAGCCTTATTTTTGTGTGGACCCCTGCATATTGCTGAACCAAAACATTTTGCACGACGCTACCGAGAGAATCGCTGTCAGTGGTGGAACATCGGGCGCCCCGCTAGCGTTTTGAAGTCGTGTAAACAACGCTAATAATTTGTCTGATTTGTTTGTAAAACAAAGCCATCGACTCCGAAAATAAGTTTAAAAGCCGATACATTTACGAACTAATCGTAGAAAATTCCCTACCGTACTGCACCATCAGCATGCGGCGGCCGCAAAAATTCGGCAATGCGAAAGAAAAATGTCTGGTCCATGATAGCAGTATTTCTCATAAAAATAATGTATATGATTTATTTTCCCCCTTTGTCGGTCTTTTAGTCCCAAAACGTACTAAAAAAGCGGAAATTTGCCCATAAAACCGGACGAGGAAAGGTAGCTATCGACGTAAACAAATTATAAGCACATGGCGAAAATCAGCAAAATCGGCAACGGGACAGAAAAATGCCTGGTCCATTTATCGATATTTACCATGAAAATGTCGTCTGTGGTGTATTTTTCCTCTGATGTGAGTTTTTAGGTCGCAAAACCTCTAAAAAAGCAGAAATTTGCCCACGAAAACGGACTGGCAAGGCATGGGGGGAGGGCGCTGTTGACGCCTGCATGACCCCCAAAGGTTGAAGGTCATAGGGCACGTCCATTGCGCAATAACCTTAAATCGCCGATTTAGCTAATTTTTTGGGTTTCAAATTGATACAATCACACTATCGATTTTTAGGCAAACAAAGGGATAGAAACCAATTAAAATTTTGTGCAGATTAATTTTTTTTCTTTTAGAATTCTTTTTTGTTTTCTTTTTTCTCCCAAAATCCCTGGGAGAACCCTGAAAACCTGTAGACTTGAATCAGGACCTGAATCTGAATTTAGCCCTGCAAGGGCTAGGGACATCTGTTAAGTTCTTCGAGCTGATCGACCGTTTAAAGCTCCATGATCTGACACCTGAGTACCTGAGTGATGAAATATAATATTGCACAATCGATTTTTCATCATGTTCTGCTTATATAAACACAGCAATCAGCAAAGTCTAAAAAAAAAATAAAAAATAAAAATGGAATAAGATAATCCCTACCTACCGACCCTAATTTTTTCTGGACTGAAACAGGAAACACAACATTTTTTTTCCTTGGCCTTACCAGGCTTCAGGAGGTGGCTGGAAAGAGTAGAAATTGGCCAAATAGAGAGATAACATGCCAGAAGAGTTGGTTGGCTAGAGAGTACAGTTTGCAGCACCCGGACTGTACTTTCTATCATTCTATTTGGCCAATTTCCAGCCGCCTCCTGAAGCCTGGTAGAGGCTAACAAAATATAGCTACAGTTGCTAGAAATCAAATTCTAATTTAATGGCAACTTCCAGGTAGAAGAATTACATTAAACCTAATGTCTGTTTCAGTTGGCTTTAGATATAGAAGATGAGACAAGAGCACAGAACCAGTATCTTGGAGGCATGGTAAGTTCTTCAGTACTAGTACTGTAGTACTGGACTGTACTGTTGTAGTCAGAATCACAACATTGATTATACTTGGCCTTGTTTACACTTAAGTTAAACACAATATGACTGACACCAAGAAAAGTCTGTAAAATGTGTACAAATATCGAATGTATACATACAATATAGTCCCCTTGATGTTGGTTTTGATCATGATGACTGAGAAATTGAGTTTGTGCGGCCTTTCAAAAGTTTGTTTTTTTATTCCAAGATGGCCCGGCCTCCCCAGCCACCTGTGCATTCCATCACAATTGTCCGCTCATTTCCCCTTTTGTTCTAACCGGTCTCCTGGGTTTCGAATAGAAATCTCCAGTTTCCAGTGTATTTAATCACGCCAATGCCAGGTGAGGGTACTCAGTAACGAATTCAAGTTTCATGTTCCTGGTACCAAAAGCTCATGGTCTGAGAAAAATGGAGGTGTTCAAAAGAATAGTTTCATGACTTTTATCTGGTTGGTAAGTCACTGAATAAAGGGCAGACAGTACTATATTAGATTTGGCCATATAGGAGCACATGGTTAAAAACACTATTAGTCCTCATAAAAGTACTTATCCATACTTCAATATCAAGAATAAATTTTCTGCACCAGGTAGACACAAGGGTCTGATTCCCAAATATAGAAAGAAAAGATGGGCTCGACTAGGCCGCCTGGCCAGACAAGACCTAACCACTCACATCTCTCACTACGCCCACTAAACTGGTGAAATAAACAAAACTTGACCAAAGTAGGAAAGTTTAGACCCTACCTGTGCCTTACAGCCCAAAAATCTTCAAAATGGACCAAAACTTTCAAGAGAAAAAAGGATTTCAAAGGTATTGACTATGTAGGCACTACAATCGTGTTCCCATTTTGAGGCCTCTACTGCGCAACGCAAATGTGGTGTCTGCCAGAGCCTTAGTCTGTTCCTTGTTGTTTCAGGGAGGAGATATGGAGAGTGTGACTGCCTTGCTGGGCGGGAGTTCCAAGCGTTTTAAGGACATGTTGAGCCAAGGGAAGACCAACAGAAAAGTCATGCTGTACCTCGCTGTCCTGCTCGTTGTCATCTTCATCATTGTGTATTTCACACTGACACATGTTAGACAGGGCTGACTGTACGGGAGTGACGTTACAGCACAGGTATATACCACTACTGTACTTAGGGGTGGGTACCGGTTCAGCCGGACCGGTTTAAACCGGAACGACATTCGGGAACCGAGTCCAAAAACTGGGTCACCGGACCTGATGTACATTTCTGTAGATTGTACACACATCTTTGGATAATCTGGCCATGGCAAGTAAAGAAAATAACCATGAATCAAACTACAATGGCCTAAATCCATGTTTGTCTCTTTCTGTAACTGTGTTCAGCTTCAAAAATGATATTATACATTGTACAACTTGAACATAATATTACACTCTAGTGATTGACCTGTACTTGTATTTCACGGTCCAAAATATGATTAATATCATTAAGTTTTGGCATTAATTATGCACATTAGGTCATTATTTGCATAGTTGGCATCTGCTAATGTTAAACCTGCCATATATATTACATACAAAAGTACTATAATAAAATACTGTAAGGCCATAGCAAGTAATTTTTATGGATGATGTCAGCACGCGCGTTAATTTTCGCCTGATTTTGGAAAAAAAACCTGAAATTTTGTTGCATTCTGACAGTGTTCAACATGCCTAAAATGGGCAAAGATGTCTGTTGCTATGCCAGAACGTGGATGGCAGATAACTATGAAGAGAGGAGACCAGAAAGGGTCTGATTTAATGTTTTGTTTCTTACTTTGATGCAGTGATATGTGATGCTGACTGTCAGTGTGTATATGTGATGTTCGTACTGAATCAAAACCATTTGTACAGTGATTGAGTCAAAATTATAAATTGTAGGAACCTTGTTTTTTTTGACCCGCCTTGTTTTTTTTTTCGCCCGCTTTCTTTAGATTTGGAGTCTGTGGAGGATGACCGATGTCATCCATAAAAACTTGCTGTGGCCTAATTACAGGATTTCATCAGTCTATATTTGCATAATTTGCTTGGATGATACGGAAAACACTGTGTCATATTCTATATTTTTTTCATTGATTATATCTCTTGTAATTTCCTTCCCACACAGATCCCTTCACACCTGTGTGAGCTCCCCCTACCTACAAACTGAAGTACTGCAGACAACTGTGCCCCACACTTCCACCATGCCGTGGAGAAAAGTCCTGTATGAGGACCAGGGCTGCCCTGACAACTATGTGGACTCCTCCTTCTTGGAGCAACTACAGAAAAACTTGAACACGAGATCGTACGACTACTGGAACACGGTGTACGAATCCGGCGCGGTGACGGACCACATCAGCGCCACTTGTCTGTTCGTGGTGACTTTCGTTTACCTGGAGGCTGGCGTACTGTCTCCAAAATTACTCATACTGCTCACAGTCGCATCCTGTTTCCTGGGGTATATAGCGTACGCAGCCTGCACTGTACATCTGGGTGAGACTGTACACAAGAGCCACCTATGGATTGTGATACGAAGTGCAGTTGTCTTCTTGCTTTTCACCTACAGCCTGTCGCCCATACTGTACACCCTGACAGAGTCTGTCAGCACGGACACCATCTATGCCATGACTGTCTTCATGTTCGCGGGAAATATTTTAGTTTTTGACTACGGCACGACGGCCGCGATCGTTTCCGAGTCCACGTCCTTCAATCTCGCCATGTTCGGTTCCATGTGCTTGGCGTCTCGCCTGACGACCGTCCTCCACACGTTCTCTATCGTTTCCTTCGCGGTGGAAGTGTTCGCGCTGTGGCCGGAGCTGCGGAGGAAAGTCCAAGCGACCCACCGTGGGTGTAAGATGGGTGTGTCGTGTGGGTCGGTACTGGTGTCGGTGTGTGCGGTGTGGTCTGTCTCTACTGTAGGTGCAGTGTTACTGGGGCTGGTGCACTTTGTTGTAACCTTCCTTTGCCCACGGTGGCTAATTCAGCTCCAGCCCTACAAAAACAACATCCAAGGACCCTGGGATGAAGTCAGTATTGTGGATAAAATGTGACAAGCTTAATAATTGTCAGAAAGGAAAGCAGTCAATCTTGCCTAAAATGATCATCCAGGGACTGAGGAAAAAAACAGTCTACAGTCACGTTGGACAGTAGTGTTTGGAATTAGGCAAGTCCCTTTATGCTTAGGCCATGTTGATTTGATTATATGGATGACATCCTCCGGGAACCCCAAAATTGATGTGCGCGTGCGAATAAAAAAAAATTTTGCAAAAAAAAAAGTTGTTTTCATTATGAAATCTACGTGGTCATGAGGGTTGAACAAATGGGACAGAATATGGTTTGGCAAATAATCTAGTCTTCAAGTTCATTTCTTTACAATTTCGTCTTTTTTCGCTTTCTACTACATTGGTATAGTTTTTTTGTATCTTACGGTATATTTTTGCTCATTTTGTACAACATTTTTGTCAGTATGGTTGAAAACTTTTTTTTTTGAAACGGCCGAAAATTCATGCGCGCGCGGATGTCATCCATATAATCAAATCAACATGGCCTTACATCTATATGGGGAAAAATTGGGACAGAGAAAAAGTGGTCGTTATGGCTTATACATGTGTAGCTTACAGTTGCTTGAACCAGTTCGACTGTATAGACGGCTCACTAAAATATATAAATGTATAAAATATTCACTAATTTATAGCAATTTGATAATGTGGGTACCGGTATGGGTGTATGTACTAGTACCTCAACCAAGGAAAGAGTTGGGGTGGTGGAAAGAGTATTTACTATATTTCTTACATACTTGTGTCGTATTGTATAGTACTGAATTTATTTCTTGTGAAAATCTTGATACAATTCTATTTGTAAGATTTTGGAGATATAAAGAAAGACCTCATGTCTATGTGCAGAAGAAAAATAAGAAAGTTTATTGCAAATACTTGCCCGAGGGCTAATTGCAGTTACAAACAACATAAGAAAGAAAATACAGTGGTATGTGAGACTATATATAATAAGTATATTTAATACATGTACTATGGTGAGAAAAAATATTGTAGCAACATGTGGGCCCCGGTGAAAAGTGATAAATTTAAATAAACGTGGTAAAAAGTTTGGAACATGAATTCAGTTCTCCTTTGTTACATTGGCAGTATAATGTTGTTTTTAATATCAATCATATAGCCAGAAGGCATTGACCAATCAGAAGCTCCCATCTCATATTTGTTATGATGCCAGTGGTGAATAATGATGTCACAAGTGGTGAGATTAAACCATAAACACCTTGACCAATAAGGTCCACCGATTCACAGTACCCTGGGTATGAGAGCATCCTCTGTCAGTTGAGAGCTTGAGTTTGATAACATTTACAACTGGCAAATTTTAAAATGTAATGTTTTCAATAATTTTGGAAATAGGCTACTCATTTGCATCAAATATATCAGTTGATCATATTCTCCTCCCAATGGAAGCTATTCTAGCATTTCCTCATAAATTATTCAAATGAGCATCAGCTGATTTGAATAACGTATTATGATGTTTACCTTCACTTCAACAATTACTGGCAGTTACCATTATAACATAATAGAATGTCCTTATTAAATATACAAATTAGGTCTTCGTTTACATCTTAATATGTGCCAATGTTCCCCTCATTTTTAACTACCAGATTAAATGAATTAAGGTTCTGCATTCATTTTTTTCTGATTCAGGGGTGGGAAAGAATTCATACGAATTTTACGGAATACATACGAATTTTACGGAATTCATACGAATTTTACGGAATTCATACGATCCACTACTCGGAAACATACGAATTTTACGGAATACATACGATTCATTACCAGAAACATACGATCCTTACTAATTTGGTGACCTGCGCCTGGATCACGTGACCTCCGCGGCAAATTCAAGATGTCGGACTGTAGCGAAGGTTTGTGTATAATAAAATTCATTTCTTCATAGAATATCTTGGTTTTTAAGGACTTCAAGGGCTTATCCCGTCCTGCTAAACACCAGGAACCTCAACCTGCACTTATGTGGGCTTCCTTGGCAACATTTTAG